AAAACACACTGTGTCTCGCGTATATCCACACTCCCGGCAAACCATGGATTAATAAAGCGACTTCAAAAAAAAAGCAGTTGAATTCGATTTTTTTAAACGTAGTTTATGTACACGAGTCATTCCAAGTGCCACGTAAAGTTACGTTGCGGCACAAAACCTAAGCATCGAACAATGTAACGGGGCGTACTGTAACGTGTTGCACAACGAGCGTTCGTGTAACTAGTACAGAGACTAAGACGTTTGCATCAAGTTTCCAGTGGTTTGTTGATAGTTCCACAACTATTGCATTCGGATTCATTTGTACTTTATTCGACTCGTAACAAACAGTACGTAAAGCAACATTACAACTCGTAACACCAATTGGTATCCATCTTAACATCTGGCGCCCAGGTACTTCGCACTCTCGGTACGCACACAAGCCGTCCCTGGCGTTCGACGTCAGTCAGTCGTCAGTCTCCTATTTTTCACTTTCCTAGCCAAAGGCCGAGGTACATATTTGATGGTGCGACAGGAAGGAAACCGTCGTGCGTAATTGGTCCTGCCGGCGGATAAATTCTGACAAAAACGTGGCTCAACGCGTCGGATGTTTGTTAATGAGATATTTTGATGGCTGCGTTTTTGAGTGTTATTTTTTTTCTCATCGGTTCGTTAAATGTGTCGTTAGTGTTTCAGTTTGGGGTATAGAAATACGATATTTTTTTTAACACATAACCTCACGCCTATTATATCCGAAGGGGTTGGCAGATGTGTACATTATGCCACTGTACAACGTAACACCTATTTTTCATTATTTATGTTATGAGTCCCATGTAATAGGGGGTGACCCTATTGCCATATACCGGGCCCATTTCCAGACTCAGTACTAGAATTTTGCAAACAACTCCGTAGTACTCTGCCCGACCCGGGAATCGAACCCGAGACCGAACCCTTGCCCGGCAGTCGACCACTCGGCCAACGAGGCAGTCATTTTTCTTTCTCTTTATAAAATAACAATTTTTCAGTTATTTCTAACCCCAACATCATCTAACATCAAACTCAAATCATGACCAATGAATTCAATTACAACAATAGTTCCACAATACACCAACTTAAATGAACTTGTATCAAAGCGACCAATCAACACCGAAACAGAAAAATATTCTCAAAAAAATTAACCAGTTATCGGAAGTTACTTCGATGATATTTTTCCGTAGTGAAATACTTGCCGGCACAACAAGATAATCCAATTGTCAGACCAAACTCGTGGCCAACAGGCGTGAGGCGCTTTCGTCTGTGCACTCCATCGAGATCCTACTACCATTTCTCGATCGAAACTCACGGAAAATTTTACGATTGAGATATTTATTACATAACATAACATCACGCCTTTTTATACCCGAAGGGGTAGGCAGAGGTGCACATTACGGCACTTAATGCCACTATACAATGTAACACCCAGTTTTCACTATTCATGTTATGAGTCCCATGTAATAGGGGGTGAGCCAATTGCAATATACCGGGTACAATTTCAGAGTCCGTGCTACTACTGAGATTTTTGTAGAAACCCAACCCACTCGGCCAACGAGGCACCGTTTATTGATTTTGTTATTATCAGTCTTACTTACCAACCACTTGATCATACGACTTCGTCAATCAATACTGTTAATATTTTAACTTTAATGTGGTATTGCCTGGAATTTGTGTAGTTTGATCTAAAATCATATTTTTTATTATATCTGAACTTTTCAAACTTCGACCTTCAACCCGTTTGCAAAGCGTGGCGATTGACAATCTCTCATTTGTAGAAAAAGTTCGTATGTAGTACAGTTTAGTAGTCGTAGTTTTTGTGGTGGGAAAATCGAGAGGAAGTCGGACTCTTACTGACTAAAAACCACCCCATTCCTACATCAGTACTTCGAGCTGGAGCCTCGGCAACCCGTTAAGTCCTCCGCGGCTTCGTATCGGCATCAGCTTCATTGGGCCTAATTTGTGGTGGTCTGATGGCACTTTGAGGCGCGCACGGAACGCGAACCGCCGTACGCTCGTTCTGTTCGGGCGGCGAGTCACCCGTGCTCGCTGTCCGCAGTTCTGTGCTTACGGTGCGTGACCGAAGATCGTCTCGCGATCCCCGACGCCCGTTATCTCTAGCGACATCTGGGGATGGTTCGTAATCTAGCAGTGGGCTTTCACGCTGTGAATGATTACTTCAATGAGATCATTTTATAATCTCAGTGTCCAAATAATATTTTTCTCGTGACCTAATTATATCAGCTTACAGCATTAAGTCTTCTTTATTGTTAACAACCTCTATAAATTCTCCTTAATTGTGGATATTGTACGATTCCTGGTAACGTTATAACTAGTTAGCTTGTACTCATACTAGTAATAAATTCTGGAAACCTGAGGCTTTTATAATTAGTAGGATTCATATTCAAATTATTAAAACATGGCAGTAGGCACTTAAAAGAACTACCTTTTAGTATATTTTCTGTGAAAGTTGTGTAATCGTTATGATTAACGTCGAAGCGTTATCTGACAGCTTAATACGACCTTGTTTTTAATCTCAAAGTATCAACCGATTCTTAATTTTTGTACGTTTATTTAAAAAATAAGACAACTTTAAACCTCTTTAACTTACATTCCGTGAGTCCTTTGCAAAAAATATTCGTGACTAAAGTCGACAAGTCAAAGTCCCATGGTACGGGCTTCGAATTCGTCCGCTATGATATAGATGCTTGGGTCCAGATTACAGGCTGATACAAACACGATGGGTTTCATGCGGACTCATTGAACAGAAGACTCGATGTAACGTGAACGGGCCCAAATTCGTCACATAATGCCCAAAAACGGATAAATAAATAAGCGAACAGTTTTCAAAAAACGATACCAACACTTTTTTATTGTTTTCTTGTTTTATTCACAGATTATAATATGTATAGATTAAAGTCTGTTGTTTTGAAATACTCAGAGGTAGTCTAGTTTTTGAAATTTTGAATCAGATATACATTTAAAAAAATGTTAGTCTTTAAAATTTTATTTCAATGTTGTCATAAAACATTAATAGTACTGGTTTCTTTTCGTTGTTGTACTTATAAAGATTTCATAAACTCTTTCTCCAATTTCAAGATAGAGAAGTCCCATGTAAGATTATTTTTCTTAATTATACTAATTTCAATTTAAGAACCTTGTTTTGTGGTTAGCCAGTTATTTGCATTATTTATGAACGACTCTGTCAACAAATGGCTGAGTTAATTCAGATTTTTCTTGCCCTCTGCATAAAGGAAATGAAATCGAAATATTTTTGAATACTAATTAGAGGTCTCGACTCGTGTCTCGCCGTCAAAAAAGTCTTGGAAAAGGCTTGTTTACATAATCGTTGAATTTGCAATGTTAAACTGTTTCGACCAGATGTTTTCTTGATTTTTAATCCAGTAAAATGTACGTGGTTACTTGTTTTTGTCTACGGAACAATAAGATCATTGAAGAGTGGAGCATAAATTAAAAATTAATTAGAATTCCTCGTTCTTTTAGCGGTTGGTTTTATAGCTAGTGATTGGTCAAAATCTTGCATTCGTTACATATTTGGAATATTATTTTAATTATTTGTTTTGTGGGATTTTTTTTTATTTGATGTGCTGATTTTTGACAAAACTATCTCGTCTAGTGGTAATCAATGCGCAACATCGTCAACGTCATAGTCTATGATGGATCACGTCGTCCCTAAAGCAACCTATTCCCTCGGGCCTTGAAAACACCCAGTATATTTTTTGTGTATGTGTAAGTATGAACATTCCTGTACTTATAAGACTACTTACTATTTGTTTTGAAACGTAATACATTAACAATTGAGATAGTACATCGTTTGGAAGAGCGACCGATGTTTTCACGATGACTCATCACAATCACCATCCATGGTTATAATGGTTAATTGATAAAATAACGTAGAGATTGTGTCCTTAATGAATTAATACTTGTGATTTTAGTATAGGATGGATTGCATAGAATCGGCTGGAATCGATAAGTGCTTAATTGTTGTTTACAGTTTAGTAAGGGTGTTTAGTATACTAGCCTAGCTTCACTGACGGACAGACTGACAGACTATTATCTATTTCATTATGGTGTAATTGAAATAAATGCTTTTGAGTTTGAGTTTTGAAGGTATCCTAAACTCTAAGTAGTACTTAACCTATAAATCACCAAGCGGTCACCGGTGACCGCTTTCCACTTATATTACATTACATTATAGACCTTATTTGTAATGTTTAGAGACTACTTTTGTATCACCAAATTTAGTGGGTGGATTTCAACGGGTTAAAACTATTAAATCAAGATAATCCTTCAATAATATTGAGAAATCGGAACTGAAATGGAACCCTTCATATTTTTATTAATATTGAGAAGTAGGTTGAATATATCGCCAATTTGGTCAGTATATGTCCGTTTCCTTCTTCCGAAACCGTGCGTCAAGCGTGTCTTTGCATTGTTCTTACATAGGTATGCGTACAGTATTGAAATATGTATCAAAGACATTGTAGAACATACTTTTTTTAAAAAGAGTAACGAATGGAGTTTATTGCTCGTTCTTCTCCATTCGAATCTACGTTTTGGAATGAGCACCTAGCTTCACCTAATTTCACTGACGGACTGACTGACAGACTATTATTTATTTTGTATTTGTTGACGTTTCAAAAGTACCAAACTATGGTTTAATTGAAATAAATGCTTTGACTTTTGACCGACGAGCATGCATGAAAATATGAATGACTGTTAATAAAGCAAAAGAAATATGCAGGCATCGTAGCAATTGGCGTTCCATAGTCTGTGCCTACCCCCATGGGAGATAGGCGTGAAGTTATGTACTTATATCCGGTGTTCAAAAGTAGATACGTCTCTGCTTATCCTTTCAGGATTCTAGAAAAGATTTGTTATTAAGTTTTATTATATATCTGTGAGTTAATTAGCTACTCATTTTGTAAAGCTTTTATATCAGGGAATTGTATAAAGAATGAAAACAACGTAAATAATTTACAAAATTTTTATTTTCTCCTCCTGTCACCGGCTCTCTTAGGCTAGGTATGTTTGTTCTTTCTTTGTGTATTGGTAACACCATAACTGTCGCTCAAACAAACTACCACAGGCTTCAGGTGTCAATTCATAGATGGCGCTGGTGTAGCTTTAAGTCCACCAGGTGTTAAAAGACAATGTTTGTTATAAAATTGAACCTGAAATTTTTTTTCCATAAATAATAAATATTTCTAGATATTTCTGTGCTTATAAAAATTATGTAGTTCGAGTTTTATTTATTATTTTATTGTTTTAAACCTCAAAGCCTGTGGCAATTCCCGTAAATTAAACATATCTTTAGATGGCAAGATTCACTAAACGCTAACATTATATTGTATGCCGGCCACCATCAGTTTCATTATCTAACAACATATTTATTATGTCCTAATGATTCCGAATAAAAGGAAATTATTTTACGACCGACGAATTTTACTAAAGAATAAATATACTAGACTGAATGAACAGCGAGCGTAAACTATGGAACAGATATATTATATAGTTATATATGGAGTTATTTCGTGACGAGATAAACCAATGGTTGAAAAATAGTAGTATTTTCTTATTATTTTCCTCGTCAAACAGTTACGTGACTTAGTCGAAAATATAATAATTAATAATTGTCACTTTTACATAGAGGCCTTGTGTAGGGTTTATATTGAAAATACATGAAGATTATATGGCATACGTTTATTAAGTATTTTCATTGGTTTATTCCGTCATTATCAGATGCAACAATTAACTCTTAGGTACACATATAAAGGAATGTTAGCGTTTAAGGGTATTTATATACAATTACTGTATACATTTAAATATCGATTCGAACAACTGGTAAAACGTAGATCAATATATACAGAGACCGTTAGTAACTTGAATTTTAAACTTCGAAGACGTTGGCATCAAAATTATTGCTAAGAAGTTTAGCGCCAAAAACGTCAGACAATTTTTGACGAAGAAAGTTTTCCGATTCGTAATATGAAAGCAATGTGGCAATGGAATTTTTAGTGCGCATTACATTAAGGCTGCAGAGAATTTTACTTCAGTATCACGAATCGGACTTTTGACGTTGGAAAAATTGCCTAGTAGGCCCTCGCGCTTAGGTACAAGATGTGTCTACTTATATCTATGATGTTTATACTAATATTTACAATATAAACGTAAATAACGAGACATTTGATTTACAGCTCGTTTATAAAGAAATAACAAAAGTCGAGAGAACTATTTACACAGTAAGTTTGCAAATCACAGAATACATGTGCAAGAAACAGTTATTGCGATATATAAGTATGTATATATGTAGCAGGAGGTTTCTAAAATTATAGTTAAAAGTAGTTATCTCTGGCAAGATTCGACAATGGTTCACAAGATTACGAGTTATGGCTAAGTTATGGTTTCTATGCAATTGATTCATATTGAATTGATGAAATATAAAAGTTATTGGAAGATCTGGATTTGAATAGATTGTAATTTACATTTAAAGTTTCACTACATATTGCCCCTTATTCGCTTCTTCTATATATTTTTTTGCTAACATCAAATGGTATGAAGTATCCTCGAGTTAACATTTTAATTGTTCGTTACATTAAAATTATTGATAAAATGCAATTTCTTTATTGTTTCGTTAAGAATGCGAACCGCGTAAACGTAACAGTATTCACAATATTACGCAGTCACATCATCAATTTGTTCGATGGTTAGAATCATAGAATAATACATAAATTAATTAAAAACGTAAAAATCAAAAAGTGATTGAAAAACAATAGTTCTTTAACATTAAGATATGCTTGATCTTTCCACGTCCACAATTCATTATCACTTTAATTTAAAATAGAAACAACACCCTTGTGTTTAACACATTTCGTTCTGTTCAACTCTTAAGTATCAGTAATTTAATGGAAATTTACATATAGCAAGTTAAAGTTATATAAATTGCCATTTTCACAACCGAAATTAAATATGTAGTAGGTACTAACGTATAACTTAACAGTTCACTGACAATGGAAAAATTGTTACTGGCGCGCCGGACTTCCGAGCTGCCAGTAATAATTTCATCATGTCACAAGTTCAATAAATCGTCTGTGGCACAACACTGTCACTCTGTCTCGCCGTCGCTGGCCGGAGACGGGAGATGACACTTGAGGGATGACGACGGTTTCGTCAGGTCGAGAGCTGGCTCGTGCGAGGGACCCGGCGCGCTCGATGCGGCCGGCGCGAACGTGGGCGGCACGGGCATGCACGGCAAGCTCAACAAGCTGGGCGGGCGAATGTACGGCGGCATCATGCTCGGTGGACCCTCCAAGTTCGGCGGACACGACATCGACGGCGGAGTCCAGCACGCTGCCCCTGAACTCTCAGGAGCCATACCCGCCGCACTCAAGAACGAACACGACATCATCTGAAACAATCATAATTACATTTTAAAACATCTCGAAACGTAAACTTCAGCTAAATTAGGTTGATTGTGCGTGTAATCTCTGAGAGATTGGAGTAAAAACAGAGTATACATAAATAATGAAATATGTAGTATTATGAGATGAGAGGCCTAAAGAATTCGTGGATGGAGGGGCTCTGTAATCACGCTAATGGCCAATGCGCAGCATCGCCCTCAGCCCGCACCCCGCGCCCCGCGCCGCCTCTTCAAGGAAGCTTTCATACTAATGCAGATTGGGCGCAGGAGCAGTACTAAATCGCATCACACGTCCGACACCTAGTAAAGTTGCCGGAAACTTTGAAAGTTATTCACTTCGGGAAATTACCCATCCAATAATCTTATAAATTCATTGTAAAGTACCATATATTGGAACGTTTATTTCATTTCTAAAAATGGTCGTACAATTTCCGATCGATGTAAGTGTTGTATTTAGTTTCTCACGTCTGCCAATATTTCTTAAAGTAATTGTAAGTAAAGCATTTAGTGGCTATTTATCAGGGCGCCGGTGCAGGCCGCTCGCCTCCATTTTTCACTCATATCGCTGCGAAATTGATTACTTACACAATGCACGAGGCGTCCGGACCTCCGCTGCTGTAGTTCTAACGACTTGCTTCAGTAACATGTGTAACGATCTTGTCAAATTTAATATATTGTCACGAAATTCTGATAAGGGAATTGATTTGTAGCTCGGTTGTTAGACGTGTATTGTTATAATAGTTTCATAGTTAATACGGCGTACAAAAGCCTCTACACAATTGGCATAGTCGAAGGCAACAGCTGCTCCGGAGCCTCGTACACGGAGTGTTCTAACAATGATATTGTAACTTTAATATTTATTGCACTTGATCAACTCAGCGCAAGTTCTACAGCGCCCCAAACATCCATTATGAGCTCGCTCAAAAAGACGAATTTTAATGCATAAATTAAATTTATCCAAAAGCAACAATCTACTCACGTCAAGTCTTTAAACAAGCAGAACTTAATTAACTTGACGCCATTGTACCCAAGAACGTAAAGTGCATAATTAAACCCTTCACGTAAACGCTTTGGTTAATATGTTTAAGCGTCGGTATTGCTTTAGGAGACCTAAACTCTCCTATGAGAATAAACAGGGTCTGGAGGCGTGGGGCGCCGGGCGCCGGGCGGCAGGCGCGCTGGTCGAGGCTCGCCGCACAAATGAATTAGTGGTGTGTGTTGTGAACCCCGCCCCGCCCGCGCCCGCAGCAGGCCGCGCGGGGGGCATGTTGCGATTAAAATATAATTAGGCGCTCGGCAATTGTTTCGCCATCGAGCCAGGTGCTACGGCTCAGGCGGCTAGGTAAATTAAATAGCCGTATAGGGTTTCCAATTACGTGCGCCCGGTGGCCGCGGAAAACACGCTTATTGCCTAATAATGGGACGATGTAGAGGGGGGCAATATGAGGATCTTGTGTAGCTGATTAATTATTTCACGCGGCGGCTCGTTCGTGTTAAAAATCGAGGATACCGCGGTGATGGGGGCGATTGTAACGCGATATTAATTGCTATCAAGACTGAGGTGACTAATAAATCACGTTCACCTACCGTTGGTACTTTCAACATTAATGAATTCAAACGGGCTGCGATAATTGCGTACCTAATTACGGGCGGACGGAGCTGTCTAATTTATCACTGTCGGATTATGAATTAGGAATGGCGTTAATTAAACATGCATAATATTTGTGGAGGCGATCTAGTGGCGTGTTATGGTGGTGCTCTTGTGTTCTAGTGCCATTGTGTTATTCAATTTTGCATTACATCAGCTCTTATGACTCAAGTATGTGTTGTATTTTATTGATTAAGTCATCAATGTATTTTATTAGGTTGAGTATTATTAGATTATGCTCCATTAACTTGAATGCCACTGGAGTCTGTAATTGCGTTTACTTTATCACCTGTTTAGGGATTTTTGCTTAGACGTTCTTTTATCCTAGTGCTACTTTCCTAAAACTCTTTACTTAACCGACAAAATTCTTCAGGCTGTACAAATCTGTAGTTTAAATTCAACAACGTCCAATGAAATACAAAACAAATTTTCTTTTGAAAGTTTTTTCATAGGTTTTCATTTTAGTTGTATTTTCTGACTTCATAACGTGCTAGACGGGAGTTGGTATTCGCGAAGGCCAGTGGAGGGTCAGTACTGGACCTCTGAACCCTTAGTGAGGTATGTGCCCCCAGGTCACTATTGTAATCAATATTCGTTGCAAGGTTTCAATCGCTTCCCTAATAGATGTTGTATATTGTGTGATCGATTCCCTAATGATGAAAAAAAAATAAATTCATTAGATAAAGTTTGATAAATGTACCAGTTGACCATTGCCTACTCTTAGATGTAAAGAAATGTGCAAATAGATAATAAATACATAGTTATTTTACTTTTAAATAATAATAAACAACCAATTTACTGAAATAACAAACATTGAATACATTCCTCTGAAGCTAATATAATAGAAAAAAAAATACACTGAACATAAAATTATTTATAGCTAAAACCTTAACAACGAATCCTTTCAGACATGTTAAAAAATTCAGAAACATTCATCGCCATCTTAATTTGATTAGAACGTAATGTCCATTAAGTTATATACCACAACGTGCCAAACATAGAACAGGGTTGTCGAAAAACTTGCCAAAAATAGTTTCATGATTCACTTTGTGTTTGGCAGCCCTGCAAAGGTCAGGGACACGGTGGCCCGGGTCAGAAGGTCGCGTGACCTCGCCGGTTGCACCGTAATCACCGATATACGATATTGCTCAAGAATAGACCGCTTTTATTAAGTTCGTACTGAGCGTTATTTTAAGCTTACAAAGTATTTTAAGCGAATTTTGTAAATGTACACTTTGAGTTGTGATTGTTTGATTTGTTATTGAGTGTAGATGTCGGAGTTTGAGTGTTATATTAGTTAAAGTGTGATTCGGGTGTTTTAATTTTTAATTTCGGTTAAATTATGTCATAGTGTGCGATAAGAGGAGAACCACTTATGTGGTACTAATAACTTTTGTAATAAATGTACAATATTCCGGACGATTAAGGAAAATTTGGAGTTATAATCGTAATATTCATAGTCCAACAGGATTTTCATTAAGTCCAATCATATTGTCTACACATACACTACGCCATAGCACACAATACATTTGCATTGATTTCGCCGTACATACGTTTAAGTACTTGAGTAAACAATAGACTCCTTTTCAATACAAATTTTGGTTATTACAGACATGCCGTTAAGGAAGTTGTGGGTATGTGCGTTCAATTTAATATCGGCCATTGAATAGAAAACGGTTCTACGTTCACAATGGTCCATCGGCATTCCATTAACTACTAGAGCAAACACGGGGACGCGTGCGGGCACTAACTCAATACAAAACGATTCCTAGCGACCGATACTCGCACATTCGGAACATTCCTATTCGATTGTAACAACACTAACGACTGTTTATATTGGGGACGGGCCCGATCCGGCCGACAATCGGCACCGACGGACTTTCGCGAGACAATGCAAGACTGGGCCTAAATAATTTAATAGTTGTAGGCGGCGGAGCTTCGAGCGGTCCGCAAACAGTTTGTCGTACGATATGCCATCGGTGTAGACTATTGGAAGGCAAGGTTTGTGAAGCAGGCTTGTCTTTTCAAACTGATTTATTGTCTGAGGCATGTGTACGTTGTATTTTAGTGATTAGTCGATCTAAAGTTCATTATTAAGTTCAAAGACTGACATAATTAAACAATCAAGAATTTACTACTTACTAATGTTAAAGAACCTGTTTACTAATAAACAATTTGAACTCATAAATTCATACGATTAATTTTAATATTTAATTTTGAGTGAAGCATCAAAAGTTTTCGTCTGAGAAATAATTGCAGCGCGGCGAAACTTTAAGAGACCTATGGACTGGCGAGGATGTCCTTTATAAAGTTTTCCTTTTTCGCTGCAATAATGGATGATATAGGGCTTTGCGTTTAAGGTCACAAATTTAGTAAATTAGAACTCTTTTTTCTAAAACAAAAGGATCTAATTACGATTGAAGAAGTCGTTTCGTAGCTGTTTATTGTATAATGATTGTTAAAACATTAAAGGGAAATTTAATACAAAATCACTTTTTTACACAAAAAATCTGTGTTACACAAACTCAAATAGGCCGTAGTAAGTAATTTCATTTATTACACGAGTGCTATAAACAGTAAGAGAAGCGCTAAAGATATGGCGAGGCAGATATAAGAGTGATAGTGAAGCATTTCGTTGGGCGGGCGGCAATAAATTAGGGCGGGCGGGGGCGTCGCGTGCGCCGCGGCCGTTTGTCGCGTAGCGTGCGCCGGCGCTCATTTCTTATTCATGCACGCCAAGCACGCACAGGTAAGGCGCACACTACGCCACTAAAGTGTTGCCCTACCGATAATGAGTTAAACACTGCGATATTACACCGATTGCATACTTAGATTATTTTTGCTTGCTTTTTTATTTACAAACAACAGAAAAAGATTGCTGAAATAAAAATAAAATACTATATTTAATACTATATTTTATTACATTCAAATACGATCGTGAATAAATCGCTTTAAGTAAAATTAATACCGTAGCAAAGTTCTTCGTAACGCTTTATTCGTAGCTGGGCTACTACGCGGCGTAGCGGGTGGCAAGCTTACTACGTTCGTCGCATCTGTCGGCTCGATGACCGCACATTAATCATCATTCACGTCTTAGCGATAAGCTCTCGTCTGCCGTCAGCGCCTGTCTCGACAACTGACGACTTCATCAAATCATCGTATTTAATCCTTCGCTACAACTTCACCGAGCTTCCCACAAACAACTCATTAACGATCACAACACGTTTAGTATCATAATTATACCCCAGTATCGGTAACCTATTTGTTACTTACTTAGATACTCATGAAATCAATTTCCCGACAAGTTTTACGTTCAAAGCAAAATTTGACTTATACTGGA